TCAACGAATGCCGTTACGATGTCCATTTGTTTTACTACCCATCCTTTGATGGCGGCTCCCGCGAATAGGGTTCGTAGCGTCGTCGGCTTCACCACAAGGGCAAACAGCTCCTTGAAGTCCACCTTCTCCTTCTGCTGGTACCCCTTGGCTACAAGCCTGGACTTGTAGTGCTTGATCTTGCCGTCGGCATCCGACTTGATTTTGAAGAGCCATTTGGACATTATCGCCGTACGCCCCTCCGGTAGCTCCACCAATTCAAACGTGTCGTTCTCCTCGATGCTCTTCAGCTCACTCTCCATGGCCTTCTTCCACTCCTCAGCATCACTACTCTCCAAAGCCTCCTGGAGAGTTGCTGGTTCTCCCGGCATCTCCACCGGAGAGAAGAACGCGAAGGCACACTCCTCGTAGTCACTCTCCTCGTCGTCTCCGACCATCATTGCCGCTCCGGCCAGGGCTGTCTTGCCCTGCTTTCCCAGCGCATCATAGGTCAGCCTATTAGGGGGTTGAACACTCCTCTTCCCCCTTCCTTCCTCCTCAGCTGCAGGGACTTGAAGGCCTTGGTGTTGCTGCGGTGTGGCTCGAATCCGTGGAGCACTCGTAGTACGGGAAGGGAGTGACGGTGCACGCTCGCTCACTTGCTGCACCTCCTCCTCTTCTTCCTCTGCATCATTGGCCTCCTCTCCCCCATTCACAAAGGAGGATTGCCTCGTGGTTGTGCTGCCACTGATCAGCTCCAAAGGCAGCTCCACATGCTCCAACCCGTAACTCTTCACCTCCCCAAACCGCACGCCTATCTTCGCCTCATTCTCCGCCTTCCAATCCTTGTACATGAAGTTCTCTATGAACTTGCAGTCCCTGCTCACCAAGAACTTCTTGGTGAATGGGTCCCAAAGAAGCCATCCCTTACTGTTTTGAGCCATGCCCAAGTGCACGGCCGACACCGCCTTGGCACCAAGCTTGTTGTGCCGAAGATGCTTAGGCACGAGCGCCATGCACATGCACCCGAACACCCGAAGCATATCCACCTTTGGCTTCCTTCCTAGCCACTCCACATAGGGCACCCATTTGTCTGCTCCCACATGAGTCAAGACTCTGTTCTTGGCCACACATCGCTCCGCACCGCATCAGGCCAGAAATAGTCGGGTAGCCCGGCTTCAATGAGCAACCCGCGTGCCGCCTCCGTGATTGTGCGATTCGCTCGCTCGGCGATGCCGTTCATTGCAGGGGAGTATGGCATGGTGAGGGAGTGCCGAATACCATTCTTCTTCAGCCACAACCCAAACTCCTTGCTCAGGAACTCTCCCCCTCGATCGGTGCGGATTGACTTGATTAGACGGTCTTGTTGCTGCTCCACCATCGGGAACCAATCCGTCTTCAACGTTTCAGCCACGTCGCTCTTCTTGGCCAGCACATACACCCAAGTCATGCGGGTGTAGACGTGAACAATGGTGAGAAAGTACTCTGCTCCAGCAGCTCCAAGCTTCAGGGGGCCCACCACGTCCATCACCACCTCAACAAGCGGTGCCTTAGCCGTCGCCTCCGAACTAGAGAACGGGAATCGGGTGAACGTGGCTAGCTTGCACGTCGGGCAGCCAAGTACCTCATTGGGCTCCCCCTTCATACGTATGCCAGCAAACATCTCATTCTTCACTAGCTGCTGCAAGATGGGCAGGGCCACATGCCCCATGCGCCGATGCAAGGTGAGCCAATCACACTCCCCCGTAGCCGAAGTTGGATTGGAGAATGCCGCGCTCGTAATAGCGCCCCACATACTCTCTCCGTAGTCCTCCTCCGCTGCTGCCTCGGGGTTCTCCTCACCCTTTTGCTGCTCATTGGTTTCTGCACCACTCTCCTTAGGTTCGCTGAACTTGCTGGTCCCTCTAGGTTTGCTCTTCTTGAGCTCATTCTCCTTAGCGCGACCGTTCGCGCCATCGTCGCTACCAACCGCTCCATCCTTGGTGCTGATGCTTGCTGCCACTTGCCTCTCCTTAGGCATAGGGACCACTGGGATCTGCCACATCTCGTTGTAGACATCCCTGTCCTCATGAAGGTCCCAGAGAATTTGATCGCCGAGCCTTGCGGTGTAGGTCTTGGCTCCCTTCGAGTTCGTGTCCATGCCGGCCTTTGCCAACCGCCACACGGAAATCAGGTTTGCAGCAAGGCTGGGCACCCAAAGCACGTTCTTGAGGCCCACCATCTTCCCATCAGCACCCTTGAACATGGCCTTCCCCATGCCTTTCACCTCAGCTCGCTGCCCCAAAGCCGATGTGACATGCTTCACCGGTGACGCCTCGAGTTCGGTGAGAAAGTCCGAGCGAGGGGTCATGCTATAGGTAGCGCCACTATCAATCACCCAGTAGTCCAGGGGGTGTAGGGTCACCTTCCCCACAGCTTCTGGCTCCTCGAAGCCTTCATCCTTCTTTGGACCAGCCGGTGCTTGCGTCGACCCGAAGTAGAATAGACCCGGGTATCGATCGTCGCTCGGGTCCTTGTCGTTGTCTCCGATCTTTATGTTTGCAGCTCCGCCACCGCGACCGCCACGGCCTCCACGGCCTCGTCCTCTCCCTCCTCCTGCTCCTCTATCCTCTTGGCCTTGAGCAGGGGTCCAACCATCAGGGAATTTGTAGCAGTCGCGCCACATGTGTCCGCTCTTGTGGCAATAGTGACACTCGCCGTCGAATCGGCCACGACCGCGTCCGTAGCTCTTGTCGTCGCTGCCGTAACCGCCACTCCCGCGGCCTCTGCCGAAGTTGCTGCCACCAAACCTTCCTCCCCCTCGTCCTCTGCCTTTTCCTCGACCATATCCACGGCCGATGCTCGCTGCCCCAGCGCCATCCGCACTCGCCAACTCACGGCGGCGGAAATCCTCTTGAAGGATAGCTCGCTTCACGTCTTCAAGCGAGAGGCGGGGCAAGTCGTGATTAAGGTTGATGATGAGCGAGGACCACGACTCAGGGAGTAGGGCCAGCAACTTGGTCTTCTTTTGGAGCTCACTATAGTTCAAATCAGCTCCCTCAAGCCGCGTCAACAAGTCGAAGAATTTCTGCACCCCTTCTTCAACCGCTTCGTCCTCTTCAATTTGTAGTGTCGCCGTTTGCCGTTCCAACACCACAGCTACCGCCGCTGTTGCAGGAGCGTGTACACCCTTGAGAGCAGACTATGCCTTTGGTCCCTTCTCTGGTTCACGCTGGGAAGGCTTGATGTGACGGATCTGGCTGCTCCCCAACGCTTGCCCTAGTAGGAGGTAGCCTTGTGCGCTCTTCCGCACCCACGGGCTCTTCTCCGGGTCGTTCTCGGGGCGCTTCTCCGTTCCTTCCATCACCTCCAGCAGGTCATAGTGATCAAACACGTTCTCCACTCAGCAAAGTTGTCACCGTTGAACTTGTCAAGGCCAAACACTTTAGGCTCGTCCCTAGATGGGCCAACACTTGGTTGGACGGGCGCCATGGCTGAGTCACGGGGTTGGCCTTGAGCTTGGGCTTCTCCACTGCCACCAGCACCTCTGCCAACCCTTTCATCAGGTCCAGAAATTGTCGAAACTGCTCCAAGGGGCTCTGATACCACTTGTTATAGTCACAGTAGGCTCCAATGTGCCTAAAACGAAAGTTAGAGTGCACAGTCGGATTTCTGCACAGCGGCTTCAAACGTTCATAGTGTTGTGGTCACAGCTTCAAATGACTTGATTCAACTTGGATCTGGAGTCTTGTTGTTGCCTACAATAGGCAATTTAGATCGCACGATTTGACCAAGTATTGACGACACAGCGTCAGTTTGAACGAACGGCACTATGGCAGCCACTATAGTCTTAGAACACAAGATAGGAAGAGTTAGGAAGAGTTACGAGTTGGGAATGACTCCCAGCTCCTACAAACCCCAAGAGCCGAGGTACAGTGATGTGGAACAGTGCCACATTGTCCCCAACCACGAAGGGTCTCGAAACTACCCTTCACTAGGGCCTACACCAAGTGAAATGTTACACTACACAAAGTAATGTAACTATCTTCAATATCTTGAGGTGTACCCTTTTGGCGAGCTTCGAAATCACTTGAGGCTTGACACCAAGGTTCGGGCTCTTCATCACAAACTCATCCTTGAGTTCTTGATGGGTCTGCTGCACACACCTGTGACACGCCGAACGTTCGACACAGGACAAAATAGAAACCGCGCACGACAAAATAAAAACCGCGCGCGAGACACAAACGACCGCGTAACATGCGTATAGTGATAACTCGCTATTGACTCGACACACACACTCGACATCATGACTCAACATTCACACACAATTATAAGCATGAAATATATATTATCCCATGCCCTCATACCATTCCATACACACACACATGCACGCACACGGACAACAAGCCGAGTGCAAACCGTAGGGTTGCACCAACATTCCGCACACCGTGAGAGTATGTCAGAAGGTGCGTGGCTTTCTTCCACTCGCCAAGACATCTTTGGTGGATTCCCGACTCTTGCGCCACCTCAATCACCGAAGCCACAACATCCAGGCGCACGAGCCACCGAAGCTTTTCTCGAGCGATATGAACTTACCACTTATTGTCAAACATTATATATGTTATGCTTGTTTAGGCTACAGTGGGTTAGCCTATAGGGGGTACACAATTCTAGGGTTAGGTACTTGTACTCTTTTCACTGTTAGTTCATTCATTCCTGTTCATTGATTTCAACATGGTATAGAGCAGGTCCTTCCTAGGACTGATTTTTTTTAGGGCCCCGAACGGCCCTGCCTAGAACGAGCCGCCCGACCCGAGCAGCCCGAACCGAGCCGCCCAGCCCGAACCGAGCCGCCCGAACCGAGCCGCCCGACCCAAACCGAGCCGCGCCGCCCGATCCTAGCCGCGCCGCCCTTACCGGGCCGCGCCGCCCTACCTGAACCGAGCCGCGCCGCACGTACTGGACCTAGACTTCCTACCTGAGTCCCTACTCCTGCTATTACTGCCATTACTACTTTTACTCCTACTACTGCTATTACTCCTACTATGGCTAGCCCTCCTGTGCTAGCTTTCGATGCTGAGGGCCGTCCAGTGAAGTTCGAAACCTGGCTAGATGACCTACACATCTTCCTACAGCTCACTGCCAAGGAAGACATCTCACTGTACGATCACGCCCTAGGCCATGCTACTGCTCCTGCTGCTACTGCTGACAGTGCTGCCCGCTCACAGTGGCAGACTCGTGACACCCACGCTCGCTTTGATATTTGCAACTCCCTGCCGATAGATGAGCACGAGCACTTTGGGCAGCACAAGACTGCACAGGCATTGTACACTGCTGTCGTTGCCCGCTACTCCTCACCGGCCTCTGCCGCACTAGGCCGTCTCGCTCTTCCCTACCTGTTCCCCGACTTAGCCTCGTTCCACACAGGCGCTGACCTCATTACGCACCTCCGTACTAGTGAGGCTCGCTTCCGCGCCGCCATGCCTGATGAGTTCCTTGCCAAGAACCCACCCCCGCTCAGGCTCACTCTCTACCACCTAGTCACCCGCCTCCCTGACACGCTGCGCTCAGTCAGGGACCACTTTCTAGCTCGCTGCCCCACTGAGCTCACCATTGCCCTCCTCGAATAGAAACTCCTTGCAGCTGAGGCTAGCATAGTCGCTGTAGGTGCCTCTCGTGGCGACCCCCGTACCCCGTTCTTTGAGGGGTGTTCTCCTTCCCTCCTTCTTCCCTCTATCGCCTCTGCTGCTGCTGTCGACCTCCTTGGTGCTGAGAAGTTCGGGACTGCGTCTGCTTCGAGCGGGCGCCGCAGCGGCAAGGGCAAAGGGGGCAAGGGCGGTGGCGGTGATAGCGAGGGAGGCAGTGGTGGGGGAGGTGGTGGCGGTGGGGGTGGTGGCGCGACTGGAAGGGCAGGTGGTAGCGGTGGGGGTGGTGGCGGCAGCGGCGGGGGAGGTGGCCGGGGCAGAGGTGGTGGTGGGGGTGGCGGTGGACGCGGCGGCGGCAGGGGTTGGGGTGGTCGAGGAGGTGGCGGCCGCGGTGGTGGTCGTGGAGGCGCTGGCGGTGGCTAGGGTCAGTAGCACACTCCGTCGCCCCAGGAGGTCCGTGAGTGGTACTCTCAGCACGGGGGCGGGGGGGGTGGCTTTAGGTGCATGTACGTCATTCGCACTGGTGACCGTACTGGCCAGCCGTGTGGGGGACCGCACGCCACACAGCGCTACTTCGCTCGTCTCAACGACGCCTGGCGTGTTCAGTTCCCTCAGGCCACTAAGCTGCCCCGCTGGGTTGATCTTCTAAAGAAGGGGATTGATATCTATGCTCTAGACTTTGATGCTATTCTCACTGCTATGTATGTGATGTCTACTAGTGGACAGGGCGCTGAGTACCCGTGTGTCCCACCCGACCCGGGCATTAGGACTAGTGCGTCTGCCGCTCCAGGTACTCGCGTGTCTGCTACCCTAGGTGCTGGTGAGGCAGCTGCTCTAGGTGCTTGTGCGTCTTCCCCCCTTGGTACTGAGTCGACGGCAGCACTGCACACCTTCACACTGGACTCAGGTGCTTCTCGCTGCTTCTTTCGTGACCGCACTGCCCTTGAGCTACTTGCTCGGCCAGTTGCTGTCTCCCTCGCTGACGCCTCTGGGGGTCCGGTCATTGCGACCTCCTCCACTGTCCTTCCCTGTCCTGCGGTCCCGTCGGGCACACTGTCAGGTCTTCACCTCCCCTCGTTCTCTACGAACTTGGTGGCAGGTTGTGCACTCCAGGACGGGGGTGTTCACCAGTTCACCCCTGCCTACGAGCGTGTGACACACTGCACGTGTGCTCGTACGGGCCGCCACTTGGCTACCTTCACTCAGCAGCCGGGGTCGGACCTGTACACACTGACCACTGAGTCCCCTCAGGTCGCTGCGTCTGCGTCTGCGTCCGCGTCAGGTCAGCTGTCTGCCCCCATGCTCGTGTCGCTCTCTGGCGCACGAGACTGTCCTCTGGCACCACCGACTTGGCCACCCGTCTGTGCAGCGCCTTCGTGCCATGCACTCCTGGTACCTTGTCTCTGGTCTTCCCAGGGTCCTCCCTCCCCTCCCACCCTCGCCTGCTCCTCCCTGTCTTCCCTGTGTCGAGGGGTGGCAGCGCGCCGCTCCTCACTCCTCCTCGTTTCCCCCGACGACTGCTCCCTTGCAGACGCTCCACATGGACGTGTGAGGCCCAGCCCGCGTCCGTGGTCACGGTCAGGAGAGGTACTTCCTGATAGTTGTTGACGACTACTCGCGCTACACCACGGTCTTCCCCTTGCGCACCAAGGGTGAGGTCACTGGTGTCTTGATCCCTTGGATCCGCAGAGCCCGTCTCCAGCTCAGCGAGAGTTTCCGCTCAGACTTTCCTGTCCTGCGCTTGCACTCTGACAGAGGTGGTGAGTTCTCCTCCGACCTCTTGGCAGCCTACTTTGCTGAGCACGGCATTGAGCAGTCGTTCACGCTTTCGGCCTCTCCACAGCAGAATGGGGTTGCGGAGCGCCGCATTGGCCTGGTCATGGAGGTCGCCCGTACCTCCTTGATCCATGCGGCTGCCCCCCACTTTCTGTGGCCGTTTGCGGTCCGGTACGCTGCGCATCAGCTCAACCTCTAGCACCGTGTCTCCTTGCCGGAGACCTCGCCCACACTGCTGTGGACAGGGGAGGTTGGCGATGCGTCGTGTTTCCGGGTCTGGGGATCTCGAGCTTTTGTCCGAGATACGTCTGCGGACAAGCTCTCCTCCCATGCTGTTCCCTGCGTCTTCCTCGGCTTTGTCCCGGACTCGCCTGGTTGGCAGTTTTACCACGCCACCTCGCGCCGAGTCTTGCCCTCTCAGGACGTCACTTTTGACGAGTCCGTCCCCTACTACCGCCTCTTCCCCTACCGCACCGCCCTGCTCCCCCCCCCCCCTGCCTCTCTTCCTCGCGCCAGGTGCTGCTGTCGTAGACCCCCTCCCCCCTCACGCTTCTGCTCCCTCAGGTGTGTCTCAGGTAGACCCGGTTGAGCCTGTTGAAGTAGCTGTCGACTCTCATCCTGCTGCGGGTGCGGAGTCTGGGGGTGCTGAGCCTGGGGGTGCGGAGCCTAGGGGTGCTGAGCCTGGGGGTGCGGAGCCTGGAGGTGCTGAGCCTGGGAGTGCTGAGCCTTGGGGTGCTGAGGCTGGGGGTGCGGAGCTTGTGGGTGCTGAGCCTGGGGGTGCTGAGCCTGGGGGTGCTGAGTCGCGGAGTCCGGAGTCCGGGGGTTCTGAGTCTGGAGGCCCTGAGCCTGAGAGTCCTAAACCTGGAGGAGCCCTCTCCTCGGAGCAGCTGCGTGAGTGGTACTTACAGTACTGCAGCCTCAGGAGAGGTACCTCTGGAGCCAGGCGTACTACTGGGGCTGGTGCTAGTGCTTCTCCTCCTAGCCAGGAGCTCCCCTCTCGTGAGAAAATCCGTGAGTTGTACGAGCGGCGCTGCACTCTTCGGAGTGGCGCGCCTGGTGTCGCGGACCCCGTTGCTGCTGGTGCTGCGGACCCGGGCGTTGGAGCTGCTGCTGGTGCTGTGGACCCGGGCGCTGGTGCTGCTGCTGGTGCTGTGGAGTTGGGCGATGGAGCTGCTGCTGGTGCTGAGGACTCGGGCGTTGCTGCTACTACTGGTGCTGAGGACCCTGGAGCTGGTGCGGCTGCTGGTGCTGTGGAGTCGGGCGTTGGAGCTGCTGCTGGTGCTGTGGAGTCAGGTGTTGGAGCTGCTGCTGGTGCTGAGGACTCGGGCGTTGGCGCTACTCCTGGTGCTGAGGACCCTGGAGCTGGTGCTGCTACTAGTGCTGAGGACCCGGGAGTTGGAGCTGCTGCTGGTGCTGAGGACCCTGGCACTAGTGTCTCTGCTGGTTCTGGAGTCGCTGCACGGCGGCGGCCGTACTTCGTTCTGCTCCTTCAGCAGGTTCTTGGTCTCCCGCTTTCTCGCGGTCATCCTCCTCCCTTAGAGTGTCCACAGCCTGTCCAGTCACAGTTAGAGCTACGGCCTGCCTCCCCACTACCTGCTCCTTCTCCCTACACTGAGCTTACTTGAGGTCTTGCTGAGCGTCGTGAGCCTGCGTCTTGCCCTGCGTCGCCTGTCCGTACTGCTCGCACTAGTGGTTGCGGTTCGCGTCAGCGTCCTCCTCCTTTCCCTGGCACGCACCGGATGTCTCTGCGCCCGTCCAATGCTCCTCTGCGTGCCCCTTTGCCTTCTCCTCCTGAGTCCTCTCTTCTTGCTCTTGCCGACCCGGAGTCGGACTCTCTTCGTGCTGCCAGTCCTACTGTCACGCGTCTCCTTGCTACTGTCGTCACTGACCCTTCTTTTGAGTCCACTGCTGCGTCGGCCCTAGTTGCTGAGCTCGTCGACTTTGCTGCTCGCAGTCGCCTAGACTACGCTGCTAGTCTTGTCGCTGAGTCTGAGTCTGTCTGTCCTCCGTCCGTCGGGGGTGAGTGTGCCCTTGGCACGGACGTTCTTGAGGACAGGCAGGAGGAGTTCCAGTGCTTGGCCGCTGCTTCACCTCATCTCGTGTCCGTACTGCTTACCCGTGAGGGAGACCCGGATGCAATTGACATCCTGACTCCGCGCTCTTACGCGGAGGCGATAGAGGGTCCCTACTCTTCTCAGTGGCAGGCAGCTATGGATGCAGAGATGGCTTCCTGGAAGTCCACAGGCACCTACGTTGACGCTGTCCCCCCTCCAGGGGCGAACATTGTCAGTGGCATGTGGATTTTCAGGGTGAAGCGGCCGCCGGGTTCTCCGCCTGTCTTCAAGGCGCGTTACGTTGCTCGTGGCTTCAGTCAGCGGCAGGGAGTTGACTACTTTCAGACCTTCTCTCCCACCCCGAAGATGACCACTCTTCGAGTACTGCTGCACGTAGCTGCTCACTGTGACTACGAGCTACACTCTCTTGACTTCAGCACAGCTTTCTTGCAGGGAAGCCTGCACGAGGAGATATGGCTGCGCCACCCACTTGGCTTCACTAGGACTTTTTCTCCTGGCACCCAGTGGAGCCTCCGGCGGCTAGTCTACGGTCTCCGCCAGGCACCGCATGAGTGGCACGACACACTGAGGACTACGCTTGCGGCTCTTGGGTTTGCTCCCTCTACTGCCGACTTGTCGCTGTTTCTACACAACGAGACTTCTCTGCCGCCGTTCTACATCCTCGTGTACGTCGACGACTTGGTCTTTGCCACAGCTGACACTGCTGGACTCGCCTACGTGAAGTCCGAGCTGCAGAAGAGACACACGTGCACAGACCTGGGTGAACTGCGCAGCTACCTTGGCTTGCAGATCACCCGGGATAGAGCACGCCGCACCATCACTCTGACTAAGTCACACATGGTGCAGCAGGTCCTTCAGCGCTTCGGCTTCACGTACTCCTCGCCTCAGGTCACTCCTTTGCCTACTCGCCACTCGCTCTCAGCTCTGCCTTCGGATGAGTCCGTAGAGTCGAGTGGCTCGTACCCAGAGCTTGTTGGCTGCCTCGTGTACCTGATGACCTGCATACGACCTGACCTTGCATACCCTCTTAGCGTTCTCGCACGTTATGTTGCTCCTGGGAGACACAGACCAGAGCACATGGCTGCAGCGAAGAGGGTGTTGCGCTACTTGTGCAGTACGTCGGGCATGGGGCTGGTGCTTAGAGGGCGGAGTTCAGTGGTCCTCACTGGTCACGCAGACGCTTCTTGGGCTGACGACCAGGCTACGCAGCGGTCGTCACAGGGTTACACCTTCAGCCTTGGTTCCGGCTCTGTTTGTGGCACGCTACTCGCTCATCTTCAGTTCTCGGCTCCAGTTGTGAGGCTAAGATCTACGCAGGGGCCATGGCTGCTCAGGAGCTTCGCTGGCTCACCTACCTGCTGACCGACCTTGGAGAGCCGCCTCGTTCTCCTCGAGTCCTGTACGTAGACAACAAGGCCATGCTGGCCTTGTGTCGAGAACAGAGACTGGAGCACAGAACAAAGCATATTGCTCTCCGCTACTTCCTTGCTCGTGAGCTACACCGGCGTGGTCAGTTGCGGCTTGCGTACGTGGCCTATGAGGCCAACACTACTGATGTCTTTACCAAGGCACTTGCGCCTTGTGATCATCAGCGCTTCTGCACGCAGCTGGGACTTGTGCCTGTCTTGCCTCACTTGCTCACCTGTTAACCTTGCTTGTACTGTTACATATATATATACCTGCTCTTGCTTGTTTAGCCTTATATATATATGTACTCCTTCATGTGAACTGGCCTTGTGGCCTTGAACTTGTGCTCGGAATGTGTGGTGACTTTGTGATCCACCCTGAGCTTGCTTTGCTTTGCTTTACTTGACTGGTCTTGTGACCCCTAGTTCTCCCCCACTTCGCCTATGGGGGTGTGTCAAGCATTATATATGTTATGCTTGTTTAGGCTATAGTGGGTTAGCCTATAGGGGGTACACAATTCTAGGGTTCGGTACTTGTACTCTTTTCACGGTTAGTTCATTCATTCCTGTTCATTGATTTCAACACTTATATTGCGTCTGCTTGTGTATCATGATTCTCATAAAAAGGGTGGGGACGCTTTTGGTTAGCCGGCGGAAACGTTGGATTGAAATATTCTCAGGTAAGCCATCGTGCGACCAGTACTAAACATCGTTATCATCCTCGATGCCCACACCATCCTCACCGCCCACGGCTGACTCATCCCACGGGCACTCTTTAGGCTCGCCCCAACGTGGTGCCGATGTCGAAGCTTTATTCCACTCATCCTAATTCCGCCATGGCTTCCATAGCCAGGCAAGAGAAATGGAGAGAATGAAGCAACGATGCAAGAAAGGGTGCACAACGGGAAGGTACCCTGTCAAGTTGGCTGCTCGGGTTCCTCGTTAATGAATTAGAGGATACCCTTCGCATTACCTGCAAAGGACCATGCGTGGCCCGAAATTTGTTGTGGTGGCAGGGAATATTCGATCCTCTTCTTAAGGGTCCGGGACGATGTCACCCGCCTGACAGCGCATGACTTTTTGATCGGATCGCTCGGCAAGTTTCGAGTCAGCGCTAGCAGGTTCGATGGTTCTATACCCATGTGTGTAATGGAATCCAGATCGCGGTCGTTTTCTGACGGTTTTTCATGCACAAATTTACATGAACGTAATTCATTTGTGTTCGCCGTATTGCGAGCTTCATATTAGTATGTTCAACACCAATTTTATTTCCGTAATTCCCCAGATAAAAGAACCCCAAAATAGAGCACCTTTGGCTAGCTGATACAAAGGGGTGCTTTATCAAGCCTCGATTTCGTTGTACCCCCCTATTGAAAGGTGAACAATATATGACCCCCCCCCCCCCCCCTCCCCAAACATGTTAGGTTGCGAAATTGGATTGTAGGGGGGTGAATTCGCAGTATCACGGGGTGAAGCTGCTGCGTCATGGTGCGAATGTGCTGCGTCATGGGCAAATTCGCAGCATTATGGGTGAATTTGTTGCGTCATGGCCGAATTTTCCGCGTCAAGGGGGGTAAATTTGCTGCGTCAGGGGGCAATTTTGATGTGAGAGGCGAATGCATTGTGGCTGGTTAAGGGTTTTTGGCAACATTCGAAGCGAACAATGTTTCGCTAGCTTGGTGATCACCAAAAGCATCCCTCCAACTTTAGAATTAAATATAGTGTTCAAAACACCTTTGAATAAATATGCCATTCTCAAAATATCTATTTTTGTTGTCTGAGCTATAATGGGGTAGCCTGTATAATGTACAACCCTATTAGGGTTAGTTCTTCTATCACCCTTGATTCATAGTTTACCATTCCATTTTTTATGATTCATACCTTGTATCCGAGTTTAGTTTAGGTCTGCCCCTCGCTACCCCACGCTGCCCCTCACGCACTACCATTCGCGTGCCTCGCACTGTTTTGAATGTGCTGTTCGTGCTGCTCCGCGCAGGCACCTTGCGCCGCCCCGCGGCCACCGCCTCTGCTACTCCTGCACCCGCCACTGCCACTATAGCTGCAGCCGCCGTCCCTTGTCGCAGCTGCTGCCGCTGCCACCGCTGACTCTGCTACTACTGCTGCTACCGCTATGGCCGCTGCAGGTGCTACTACAGCTGCCACCGCCACCTCTGCCGCAGCCGCCGCTGCTGCTGCCACTACAGCCACTGCCGCTGCTGCTGCCGCTACAGCCGCCGCGGCTGCTGCTACAGCCGATGCCGCTGCCGCTACAGCCGCTGCCGCTGCTGCCGCTGCTACTACTGCCACTGCCGCTGCCGCTAGAGTAGCTGCAGTTGCCTCTAATACTACTGCCTTCGCCCCAACTGCAACCGCAGCCGCTTCCACTACTTCTGCAGCTACAGCCGCCACCTCTGCCGCTACAGCTGCTACCGCTATAGCTGCTACATCCACTGCTCCCATTGCACCGCCGCTGCTTCCGCCGTGCACCGCACCGCCGCCTCTGCTTCCCGTGCGTCGTACCACTGCCATTGCCGTCCTTGCACCGCCGCTACTGCCCCTGTGCTGCTGCCCCCTAAGTGCCACTGCGTACTATGGCGACACCCATTGTACTGACGTTTGACGTAGAAGGCCGCCCGATCGAGTATGAGTCTTCGCAAGAGGACCTTCACATGTACATGCTAAGTGTTACCAAGGACGATGTCTCGCCTTTTTAGCACACGTCAGGGTCCCTTCAGGCCCCACCCACTCTGAATGCAGCTGCCACTACTATGTCAGCAGTATAGGGCCGACCGCATAGCCTCTACACACTCGTTAGCACGCGACGGCACTGCCCAGCTTGCAGTCCGCACTCACCTCCCGCCTGACCAGAGGTCCCACTTTTGCAAGTTGAAAAACGGCCAAAGCGCTCTATGACGTTGCAGTAAAGCGCTACTTCTCCCCCGCTTCTGCCACCCTTGGCCGTCTTGCGCTGTCGTTCCTCTTCCCTGGGCTGTCTGACCTTGCCATTGTAGCTAGCCTCATGACACACATGCGCTCCCTTCACACACACAACCGAGCTGCTCTCAAGTCATACTTTCCGGCTGAGAACTAGCCCTCGATGTACCTCACTCTCTACTTCCTCACGACTCGCCTCCCTAACATGCTCTTCACGTTGTTAGAGACCACTTCCTCTCCCTAGACCCCACCGAGCTCACCCTCGCCTCGTTTGAGTCCCGTCTCCTCTAAGCTGAGACTAGAGCCTGCGCAGTAGCTGCCTCCCGTGGCACTCCCTGCCCCTCCTTCTTTGAGGGGTGCTCCCCTTCCTCCTCGTGCCTGCAGTTGCCTCTACTGTTGCTGTTGACCTCCTTGGTGCTGAAGAGGTCGGTGCTGTGTCTGTTCCTAGTGGGAGGCGCCGCGGCAGGGGTGCGCGTACTAGGGGTGGGGGCGGTAGGGGTGGTGGGGGTGGTAGTAGCGGTGGTGGTGGCGGGGGTGGTGGAGGTGGCGGTGGCGGGGGTGGCAGAGGTGGCGGCGGAGGTGCCGGGGGTGGTGGAGGCAGTGGGGTTGGCGGGGCTGGTGGAGGGAGCTCGGGTGGCAGTCAAGGTGGAGCTGGCGGGGGTGGAGTTCAAGGATCTGTGTCTAGTTCTGCACCTAGTGGAGGTTATGAGGGTGGACAGTAGCACCAGCCACGTCCGTAGGAGACTCTCTCGCCGCAGCAGCTTTGTGAGTGGGTTGCCGGGCGCAACGGCCTCGGAGGAGGAGGTCGCTGCCAGTACATCCGGCGCACGGGTTTGGCACCACCGTTCCCCCCTGTTTGGCAGCCCCCTCTAGCTCCCCCACAGGTCTCCACCTCCCCTCGTTCGCTACAAACTTGGTGAGTACCGCTCACCTCCACATTGTGATGGTCACCACCACCAAACCTGGTGGCGAGCACGTGGCGATCTGTACGGACACAGTGACTAGCAACCACCTTGCCACGTTCACACGGAGGCCTGGGTCTTGACTGTATACACTGCACACTGAGTCTACTCAGGTGGCTGTGCCAGGTCAGGTACAGACACAGTGACTAGCAACCACCTTGCCACGTTCACACAGAGGCCTAGGTCTGGACGGTATATACTGCACATTACGTCTGCTCAGGTGGCTGCGTCAGGTCAAGTAGTTGCGTCTTGCTTGTGTCCGTTGCTTATGCACCCGTCCCTCCTCTGGCACCACCGTGTTGGTCACCCCTCCCTCCACCATCTGCGTCGCATGCACTCGCATCTTCTTGTCTCTGGACTTCCACAATCACTGCCCCTGCTCCTACCATCGCTTGCGCCGCCGTGCACTCCCTTCGTCAAGGGGCGGTAGCGCTCCGCTCCCACTCCTCGTTTCCTTCGACCACTGCTCCTCCGCAGAAGCTGCACGTGGACATGTGGGGCCCCGCCCCCGTCTCTGAATAGAGCCGGAAGCACTACTCTCTATAGGTTGTAGACGACTTCACGCACTACACCATAGTGTTTCCCTTGCAGCACAAGGGAGATGTCAGTGCTATTTTGATCCATGGGATCCTTGCTAGCTGACTGCACGGTTTTGGCAAGACCTCCCGGTGCTCCGTTTCCACTCTGGCCGTGGAGCTGATTCCTCCGGTCTCCTTGAGGATTTTTTTTGTCAGTGTTGGTGCAACCCTACGGTTTGCACTCGGCTTGTTGTCCGTGTGCGTGCATGTGTGTGTGTATGGAATGGTATGAGGGCATGGGATAATATATATCACATGCTTATAATTGTGTGTGAATGTTGAGTCATGATGTCGAGTGTGTGTGTTGAGTCAATAGCGAGTTATCGCTAGACGCGTGTTATGCGGTCGTTTGTGTATCGCGCGCGGAATCTATTTTGTCGTGCGCGGTTTCTATTTTGTCCTGTGTCGAAGGTTCGGCGTGTCGCAGGTGTGTGCAGCAGACCCATCAAGAACTCAAGGATGAGTTTGTGATGAAGAGCCCGAGCCTTGGTGTCAAGCCTCAAGTGATTTCGAAGCTCGCCAAAAGGGTACACCTCAAGATATTGAAGATAGTTACATTACTTTGTGCAGTGTAACATTTCACTTGGTGTAGGCCCTAGTGAAGGGTAGTTTCGAGACCCTTCGTGGTTGGGGACAGTGTGGCACTGTTCCACATCACTGTACCTCGGCTCTTGGGGTTTGTAGGAGCTGGGAGTCATTCCCAACTCGTAACGTTTCTTAACTCTTCCTATCTTGTGTTCTAAGACTATAGTGGCTGCCATAGTGCCGTTCGTTCAAACCAACGCTATGTCGTCAATACTTGGTGAACTTGTGCGATTTAAATTGCCTATTGTAGGCGACAATATGACGCTCCAGATCCAAGTTGAATCAAGTCATTTGAAGCTGTGACCAGAACGCTATGAACGTTTGAAGCCTCTGTGCAGAAATCCGACTGTGCACTCTATCTTTCGTTTTAGGCACATTGGAGGCTACTGTGACTAAAATAGTCAGGAGGGCATCACCCAGTCATTCATGCTTCCAGCCTCTCCACAGCATAATGGGATTGCTGAGCACCGCATTGGCTTGAGCATGGAGGTTGCTCGCACCTCCATGATCCATGTGGCTGCTCCCTTTTTTCCGTAGCAGTTTGGAGTCCGATAGACCGCGCATCAGCTCATCCTATGGCTTCGTGCTGGTTCTGGAAATTGGTGACTTTGGAGGTGCGGGCCCTGAGGGTGCTAGTTCAGGGGGTGCTGAATCTAGAGGTGCGGGCTCTGGGGGTGCTGGTTCTGCGGGTGCTGGCTCTGGCGGTGCTCGTTCTTGGGGTGTGGACCTTGAGGGTGTTGTCTCAGGGGTTGCTGAGCATCCTAGTGGTGGTGGAGCCGAGGGTACTACTGCTGGAGTTCGTGCGGGTGCGCTGCAGCCTCTATCGTGGCGCCCCTTGTTCTAGGAGCAGCAGCAGTCGTCACTGCCATGTCCTCGGTCTGTTGGTGGAGGTTGTGGCAGTGCTGGAGCTTGGGGTATTAGAGGTGGAGGTGCTGAAGGTTCAGGTGATGGAGGTGCTGGAGCTAGAGGTGCTAGAGGTCCTGGTCATGGAGGTTCTTGAGATGGAGGTGCTGGAGGTTCGGATGCTAGAGGTGCTCGAGCTAGAGGTGCTGGAGGTTCTGGAGCTGGAGGTTCTGGAGTTGGAGGTGGTCCTGGTGCTAGTACAAGAGGAGCTAGTTTTGGGAGTGCAGTGCATGCGGTGACTGTTGTTCTGGGAGTAGCTAGAGTCGTCTCTACCATCACGTGGCTTGGCGCTTCACCAGCTTCTCTGTCTCCTCTCTGCCACTGCGGAGCCATCTGCCGCTGGTACTACTCCTCCTCTACTGTTTTTGCCTCCTGACATGTCTCAGACAAAGTTAAAGCCTAACTATCCAGTACCTGTTCCTTCTCGTTACACTCCGTTGACAGACTCCCTAACTGAGCGTCAAGAGCCTGCATCTCGTCCTACCTCGCCTGTTGCTCGTACTCCTCGTGCTTGCCGTGTTCGCCCTCCACCTGTCACCGGCACTCACACCATGATACTTTTTCCTTCCTCTGTTCTACAGCGTGTTGTCTTGCCATTACCTCCCTCGTCCTCCCTTATAGACGTTCCTGACTCTGTGTTTGACCTTACTCAAGCTGCTAGTCCAACTGTCACTTGTTGACTCGCCACACTTGCGACGGGACCTTCCTTTTTGTCTTCTGCTACCTTTGCCTTAGTCACTGGCCTCGTTGGTTTTGCTACTACCTGCCGCATTGACTACATCGCGAGTCTAGTTTCTGACTTTTCCTGTCTAGTTGGGGGTGAGCTTGCCCTTAGTTGTGACGTCCTAAAGGACAGACAGGTTGAGCTGGAGTGCCTCATGGCTGCTGTACCTCATTTCGCTGCCATGCCACTTGTTTCTTAGGGAGACCCGGTTGCACTAGAGATTCCGACCTCGCGCTCCTACGCAGGGGCGAACATGGGTCCTTAATCTTCTCAATGGCAGACAGCCATGGACCCAAAAAAGGCATCGTGGAAGTCCGCAGGCACCTACGTTGATGAAGTTTCCCCCTCTAAGGCAAACATTGTCGAAGACATGTGAATTTTCACGGTGAAGCGGCCGCCGGTTTCTCCGCCTGCCTTCAAGGCGCGTTACGATGCACGAGGCTTCAGTCAACCTCAGGGGGTCGACTTCTTATAGACCTTCTCCTCCACCCCAAAGATAACCACTCTTCAGGTGTTACTGCAAGTTGCAGCACATCGTAACTACGATCTGCACTCCCTCGACACCTTGACAACATTCTTGCTGGGCAGCCTTCATGATGAGATCTGGCTACGCCGCCCATCTAGCTTCACTGGGTCGTTTCCTGAGGGTACCCAGTGGAGCCTCCGGCAGCCATACTACGGTTTCCGTTAGGCGCCTTGCGGTGGGCACAACACACTGAGGACAACACTTGTGGCTCTTTGCTTCGCTCCTTCGACTACTGACCCGTCGTTGTTTTTGCGCGCCGACTCTACTTTGCCGCCGTTCTACATCCTCGTCTACGTTAACGACTTCGTGAGGCACTGGCCCTTGTGAAAACAGAATTTTAGAAGAGACACAACTACACTGACTTGGGTGAGTTGCGGAGCTATCTTGGCTTGCATATCACCCAGGATAGAGCAGCGCGCATCATCACTCTGACTCTGTCACACATGGTGCATCGGGTCCTTCAGCGCTTCCTCTTTCCGTTCTCTTCGCCACAGCCAACTCCGCTGCCTACAGGCCACTCGCTCTCAGCTCCACTTTCGGACGAATCCGTAGAGCGGAGTGTTCCGTATCCAGAGCATGTAGACTGCCTCATATACTGGATCACTTGCATTGGGCCTGACCTCGCGTACCCTCTCCGCATCCTGGCACGCTACGTTGCGCCGGGGTGATACCGCCCCGAGCATTGGTGGGCTGCTACAAGGGTGCTGCGCTACTTGGCTAGTACATCAGACATGGGGCTTGTGCTTGCAGGACGGGGTAGGAGTGTGCTCACAGAGCACTCTGACGCTTCAAAGGCTAACAACCAGGCGACTTCCCGGTTTTCACACGGCTACCCTTTCAGTCTCGGCACTGGCTCTGTCTCGTAGAGATCCACTCGCTCGTCTTCTGTGCTTGGCTCTAGGTGTGAGGCCAAGATCTATGTTGGGGTTATGGTTGCGCAAGAGTTACGCTGGCTCACCTACTTGCTGACCGATATGGGTGAGCAGCCTCGTTCTCCTCCAGTTCTGTACGTTGACAACAAGGCCATGATTGCCTTGTGTCGGAAGCACATTGCCCTTTGTTACTTTCTCGTGCGAGAGTTGCAGTAGCATGGTCATGGTCAGCTTTGCCTTACTTACGTGGCCTAACATGCCAACATTGCTGATATCTTCACCAATGCCCTTGGGTCTGGTGATCATCAGCGTTTCTTTACTGCACTTGGCCTTGTGCCAAGTCTGTCTCACCTGCTTTTCTCTTGATCTCACCATGCTTTTATTGTACACTATTATATATAAGTATACGTGTGTTTTTACACTTGCTAGGTTGTGATCGGTACACGACTTTTGTTATTATAACATTGTATGTAAACTTGCCTTGTAGCCACTTGCTTGTGCTCGGACTATGTGGTGATCTTGAGATCCACTCTGAGCTTTGGTTTGTTTCTTCTCTTGACTGGTCTTGTGCTAATTTGTTGTTCTTGTCATCCCCCACTTTGCCTTTGGGGGTGTGCCAAACTGTCGATATTTGTTGTTTAGGCTGTAGTGGGTCTAACCCACTAACCCACTATACCCAGGCAGTATAGGGTCTAACCCTTTTAGGGTTAGTACTTGTATCACCCCTATTTCATAGTTCACTATTCCATTTCTTATGATTCAAACAGCCATATGAAATCACCCGGATGGATTTTCATTTTCCTTTGCTAAGCCTCCTTGTTACGAATAGTAAATTGTGGAAGTACTATGCACTTTTAACAGTAACAAATGAAGCACGTAATAAAGAGTACGAAGGCGAAAAGGTGAATTGGCGTGAAAGGTCGCGTACGGTTACGAAGGATCTGAACCGTCGAAGCAGATAGCGGGGAGCTGCAGTGGCAAGGATTCTGCCTGGAATAGTTCGTAACCGTCTTGAGTAGCATGGCTGGATTTCACCGTAATAAGGGAATGTACCCTGTACTCTTATTTATACGAATGGCTACATGGCTAGTCTAGGTCGTTTCATATTCCCCTATACTCTTATTTATACAAATGTATTTGCATGATACTATCTCTGTCATATTAAATTCACTCCTAAATCTTTGGCGAACTAAGGTGGCATCCGGCACACGCTCACACATAAGGATGGCCGGAGGAGCTGGAGGTCAGACAAAATCTGACCGTTGAAACGCAAGCCAGCCCGGCTGTGACGACGATCAGTTCCGTCGCACTCGAACAACTCCTCAAGCGACTCTCGACTCTAAAGCAAGGGCTCAGACACTGCGGAATGGAGACGTTGGAACATCTTCCCAACCCTCTCAACCGGCCGCGAATGGCCACGTGACTTCCCCGCACACCTTCTCCCTCAACACAAATGGTTCAACTCCCAAGACTCCCCGTCCCAGTGATGAAGAAATTCTCTCAGCTCAATCAAGGTTTTTGAGCATATTTAAAAAGCCAAGTGCTTGCTTTGACGGCATATATTTCCTTACCTGGAGCTTCGAGCTGGAGCTGTTGCTGCAAACCATGTAAATTTTTCATTATTTCGACAAGAGCTACGCGGAACCCAAGGTCGACACTAGCGATGCCAACCCACAATACTACAAAGAACCACTCATGGTGTACGGTGTGCTTCTCCACAACATGTCGCCGACGAAGCAGCTGGGAATCCGTTCCTATAAGACATCCCTAGTTCCAGCCCTTGAAGCTTGACGACATTTGAACGGTGTGTATCAACCGAGAGACTCGGTGTCATCAAGCCGCCTGCTCCAACAGCTACTAGAGACAAAGATGGCACCATTGGAGAAGGAAAATGCCTACAGCAACCGTTGACGAAGCTTACGCAATCAAATTGCAAAACTTGGGAGCTCAATTTCCGAGGAGATTTTCGTGAACATCGTGCTCGCAGGACTTGGCCCAGAATTGCGACTCCTCTAGGCGCTCCTTCGGCAACAGGGAGCTATCTCGGAAGCTGCCCCATGCGCCGCCCTTCTCCTCAAAGGGATGTGGAACAGCAGCGACCAGCGCCGCAACGAGAACGGGAACGAATCCCGTTCTACGCTGACAACAAGGAAAAGCGACAACCGCGACACCTTTATTGCAAAATATGCAAAAATTTCGGGCATCTGGCCGAGCGGTGTAAAATCCCCTCCACCCCTTGCCAGTCCAATCCATGCACTTGGGCCGGCCGACAAGACGCACGGCAGGACACGCGTCACTCCCAGGCTATTAGCCTTTGTTGCTCAACGTGATTACAACTTTTCTGCACTAGCAACAGCAGACGTCGCAACCCGCTCCCGCATGAAATGTTACCAGCAACATAACAATGACCCATACAAGTAGAACTCGTCATCATCGCGCTCGCCTGCCGTTGCCAGAGCCAGCACGCCATCGTATCAGGCTGTTCATGGATAACAATCCGTTTACCTCCCGGCACAACCTCAGCGACGATATAGACCAGGATTGGAACCTCCCAATCCAGCTACTTGATAGTCCCTCGCATGTACCTGATTCACAGGCGGCTCATATTCACTTGATATCACGCGAACGGTTTCTGAAGGCTGACACGCCTCACATCGTCACACCGCAACTAGCGGTGCTCGCACGCAACGACAACAGGCACTACAACACATGGTACCTGTATAGCTGCCGTGGGCAGCACATGGTGGGCTCCGAGAGTTTCATATCCAATGCTGTTGCCACCCCCACGGCCACATACATTACTGTGGCAAACAACAATCGCTTGCGTGCAAGCGCGCAAGGGAGCAGGACACACATCACATTAAACGATGTGCTGATCATGCAGAACCTCCACTTCAATCTCCTCTCGGTGGCACAACTCATGGATTGCGGGGTTGACCTCAGTAACGACCCTAAGACCCTGATATTCTCGTACACTACACAGCGTTGAACAAGCCGCGCAAGCGGATCGGACGAGCACACTCCGACAATGGCGTATACATCCTCGATTTCGACAGCCCTGACTGCAGCGGCGACAGGGACGAGTTAATTGATCTCGTTCCGCTCCGTTTCGAGCACATCCACCACTCCGAATGGAAGCATTCCGATGGGAGTTCCTAGGGGCCGAAACATCCACATCCGCGCGAAGTCGCGCCGCACGACCCTGACCAAGATGCCATCTCTAAAGATTGCCACACGCCAACTGCATCAACGAGCGCCATCGCACGACGAGGACTTGCCGCAATCACCAAAACTGAGAGTTCCCCCCCGGCCAAAGAAGAAGGAATTTCTGCCCTAGAGCTCAAAGTCGTAACACAAACCATCTTTGCCCCCCCAGAAGATCCTCTTCCTAGCACATCAGCACAACGGCTGCAAGGAATTCTACATGGACGGCACTGCGGAACCTTTCGATGTGCGCGGAGTGGCGCGCCCTACACGAAAGAGGAGTCCCTAAAGGTTTACCCTCACTGACGCGACCCAAGGAAGAAGCTTACTATCGCCTAAGAAGAGGAGCTGGCGCATCGCGGAGTAGAGGAGCTGCGCTAGAAGAGCATTGCCGAAGCGCGTGGAACTTTCACGTGCAGCGTATGGGGCGCAGAAGAAGAAGGCGCCTCCAATGAAGGGGGGTGGGACAGCAACGACGGCTGGGGAAGCAGCAGCAACGGTACCTGAGGCAACACACTAGGTAACTGGGCCGACGCTGGCGGAGGATGGGGCATCGCAACTAGTGGCACCACCGACGGATGGGGCACTACTGGTGAAGGCTGGAGCGCATGGCGAGGAGAAGAAAAGGGGGGAACAGAAGAAATCAAAGAAATCGAGCCTCATATTGTCCCCCTCAGCCGCCCTCCGTGCCTCTCTATGACTACGCCGCCTCCGCTTGACGTCCAGCCGCATCGCGATCCTTGGGATACCATCGACTGGAAAATGAGCCCTTGACCCCACGTCGTGCAGTGTACGGCCCTGATCGCGAACAGCGTGAGCCTACCCTCGTCCCCAGAACAATCCCTGTAACCAATATTTCCCCTTCCGTCATTCTCGATAGAGAATTTCTGGCGCTAATGCTAACAACGGCAAACGAAGAAGCGGTAGAAGAAGGCGCGCCAATATAACCGACTCCGGCACCTAAATAAGATCCCAAAGCAGTGCGCGCGCGATACATGCGTACCTCCGCACTCCGTGCAAGCGACATCTTATGGCATCAGTGACTCGGTCACCCCTCGCGCGTAACGCTGAACAATTGCATCGAGGCAGGAGTCTTCACACCTAGCGCACTCCTGCGCCCTGACGACTCCGAGGCCAGAACGACATCACATCCGCGCAACTGCACACTCTGCCCCAAAGCTGCACTAAGTCATGAGACGTTTTCGCTGCAGGAACCTAAAAGCAATCGCTACCCCAAACTGCACAAGGTGTACAGTGACGTCCTTGTCGTCGGCCATTGAGGCTCAACGACGAGAGGTACACGTTCACCTTCGTCGATGCAAGGAACCCGCTATGTGTGGGCGAACTTGCAGTTCCGCAGCAGGGCTTACGAAGCCTTCCACCTTTGGCTGGCGCACGCGCAACAGTAATTTGAAAAGAAGTTGCAAATTTGGCAAACAGATGGCGCAACAGAACTCTGCAGCAAGGAGCTGTAGGACTACTTGGCGCAGAAAGGAATCTCTCACCACATTTCCCTCCATTACGCGCATCTGCAACATGGTGTTGCTGAGGGCACCAACCGCACTCTTATGATGAAGGTGCGCATGCTGCTGAAGCAGTCAAAGCTTTCCCTGATGTACTGGCTGTACGCGATGCACCACGATGTGCGAGTGCATAACCTCCTTCCTACCACCGCAATTACAGGGAACATATAACCGCACGTCAAGTGGACGTGCAAGAAGGGCGATGCCTCCATTCTATACTTATAGGGGTGCATGGTGCAGAATCGGCCCCCGATATCAACCATTGGCAAGTTCGCAAGCCGCGTGCGCATCGCCATCTTCCACGAGCGACTCAACCTCGCTCAAGACCGCAAGGACGAGCAGACGAACGCAAACCGGGTGTACACGAACGTCAGGCACAGCTACGCTACCCCTAAAGATGAAGCTGCCACTGCCAACCTGGAGCAGGACAACGGGAGCGTGTCAGACTTATATGACTTAGCCTATGTAGGCTGTAGTGGGGTTGCACATATGGGGTACGATATTTCTACGGTTTGTACTTGTACCCAACTTTTGCACTAGTCAATCATTCTCGTTTCATTTTCACATGGTATAGAGCGGGTTCCCTCGTGGGAACTGTTCCTAGGGCCCACCCAATCGAAAACTTTTTTTCCTGCCCGGAGCGCGCTTCGCTCCTCCACGAGTCGCGCCCCGAGTGCCCTCCCTACCGTAGCGCCCTCCCTAGGCCTCTTCAAACCGCGTCGCGTTGCCCTTAGCGGCCCCTAGCGCCGCCCTTACGGCCTCTCGCGCCGCCTTTCATGGCCGTCGCCGCCCTTCGCGGCCCGTCGCCTCCCTTCACGGCCCGTCGCCGCCCTTCGCGGCCCCTCGCGCCACCCTAACGGCTCGTCGCCGTCCTCTGCGGCCCCTAGCGCCGCCCGTCACGCCCGTTGCCGCCCTTCGCGGCCTCGAGTGCCACCCTTACGGCCCGTCGCCCATCTCCGCGGACCCTCGCGCCGCCCTCTTACGGCCCGTCGTCGCCGCCCGTCGGCTCAGCACGCCGCCCTTGCGGCCCTTCAAGCCGCCCTTTACGGCCCGCCATGCGCCACCCTACCCGGCCCCGGCGCCTACTCCTGCGGCCCCAGCGCCGCCCTTCCCGGCCCGGACGCCGCCTCCCCCAGCCTCGCAGCTGCTCCACCTGCCCTCGAGCCGCCGCTCCACCTACCCTCGAGCCGCCGCTCCACCTGCCCTCGAGCCGCCGCTCCACCCACCCGCGAGCCGCCGCTCCACCTGGCCCCTCGAGCGGGCGGCCGCCGTCGTCCCGGAGGCAGGAGCCACCGCCGCCGAGCAGCCCGGCGGCCGAGCCGCCGAGCCACCAACCGCCCAGCAGCCGAGCCGCCGAGCCGCCCAGCAGCCGAGCCACCGAGCCACCCAGCAGCCGAGCAGCCGAGCCGCCGAACCGCCGAGCAGCCCAGCAGCCGAGCCGCCGAGCCGCCCAGCCGCCGAGCCGCCCAGCAGCCGAGCCGCCGAGCCGCCCTACAGCCAGGCCGCCCACACCGCCGAGCCGCCCGAGCAGCCCTGTCCGGTAAGAGCAGCGCCTTTGTCACATCACTGCCCTTACCCTACAGTTTGTGCTGCTAGTCTACTGCTGTCATGGCTACCCCTAGTGTCCTCGCTTTCGCTGAGGGTCGGGCCATTGACTTTGACGTCTGGATAGATGACCTGCAGCTTTTCCTACAGTGCGATAGGGCAGACGGTCTCTCTCTCTTTGACCTCACCTCTGGTGCCTCGCCTGCCCCTGCTGCTGATGCCAACGCCACTGTTCGCTCACAGTGGGCCACGTGCGATGCTGCTGCACGTCTTGCTGTGCGCCGCCACCTCCGTACCTCTGAGCGTGCGCACTTTAGTCAGTACAAGAGTGCTCAGACCTTGTACAACGCTGTAGTTGCACGCTACTCCTCCCTTGCCACAGCTGCACTGAGCCGCCTCATGCTACCGTACCTCTTCCCTGACCTTACTGCCTTTCCCAAAGTCGCTGACCTCATTACTCACCTCCGCACTAGTGACACTCGCTACTGCGCTGCGCTTCCTGCTGAGTTCTACGCCAAGACCCCCCCCCCCCCCATGTATATCACCCTCTACTACATAGTCACCCGGCTCCCCGACTCCCTTCGCGTAGTCAGGGACCACTTCCTCTCAGTTTGCCCCACCACTCTTACCGTTGACCTCCTCGAGAAGGCCCTCCTAGCAGCGGAGAAGAGCAAAGTCGCTGTAGGAGCCTCTCGTGGTGACCCCCGCACCCCCGTCTTTGAGGGGTGTTCTCCCTCCCCCCTCTTTCCCTCTGTTGTTTCTGCTGCTGCGGCCGACCTCGTTGGTTTTGAGTCGGTCGGCGCTGCGTCTGCCCCTTTAGAGAAGCGCCGCACAGGCAAGGGCAAGGGGGGCAAGGGCGCTGGAGGAGCTGGCGAGGGCGGTGGAGGCGGCGGTGGAGGCGGCGGAGTGAGTGGGGGTGGGAGTGGGAGTGGTGGAGGGGGTGGAGGTGCCGGTGGCAGCAGTGGAGGCGGAGGCGGCGGCGGTGGTGGCGGAGGGAGCGGAGGAGGCGGTGGTGGCGGAGGCGGCGGAGGTGGCGGAGGCGGCGGAGGTGGCGGTGGAGCTGGTCGCGGTTCTGCGCAGAGGATTGGCTCCGGTGGTGGTCCGCGCCAGCAGCAGTAGCGCAGTCGTGAGACCCTGTCCCCTCAGCAGCTCCGTGAGTGGTACACTGCACGCCAGCGGGGTGGGGGTACTGGTTCGTGCACCTACATCCTGCGCACCGGCGACCGTGCTGGTGAGCAGCGTAGGGGTGAGCACCCCACCCAGCGCTGCTTTGGCCGCATGACAGACGCGTGGCGTCACCAGTTCCCTGAGGCCACAGAGATCCCTCGTTGGGGCGAGCTGTCTAGGGCGGGGGCTGCTATCTTTGACCTTGACTTTGATGCTATTCTTGGTGCTATGTATGTTGTGACTATAAGTGATGAGGGTGACTGTTACCAGTGTTTTCCGCCAGACCCGGGCATTGAGACTGCTGCTCTAGGTACTGGTGAGGCTGCTGCTCTTGGTGCTAGTGAGGCTGCTGCTCTAGGTGCTAGTGCGTCTGCTTCCTCAGGTGCTGGTGAGTCTGCTCTCTCAAGTACTGCGTCGGCTTCGGCCTCCCTCACCTTCACCCTTGACTCTGGTGCTTCTCACTCCTTCTTTCGAGACCGCACCACACTCACGCCGCTTGGTCGGCCGGTTGCAGTCTCTCTGGCAGACCCCTCTGGGGGCCCTGTCCTTGCTCACTTCTCCACTGTCCTCCCGTGTCCGGCGGCTCCCTCTGGCACCCTATCTGGTCTTTACATCCCCTCGTTCTCTACTAACTTGGTGAGTGGTGCTGACCTACAGGATGGGGGAGTGCACCAGTTCACTCCTGCGAGCCAGCGGGTGACTCACTGTACTGAGGCTCGTACGGGCCGACACTAGGCCATGTTTACACGTCAGCCGGGGTCGAGCATGTACACACTGACCACTGCGTCTCCTCCTGTCACTGCGTCTGGTCGGGTAGCTGCGTCGGGCCAGGTGTTTTGCTGCAGCGTCCAGGTCTGGTCTTGAGTCTGCCCCCTGTTCGTGTCGTCTCCTGTCTCACGAGACTCTCCTGTGGCACCACCGCCTTGGTCACCCCTCCCTACCTCGTCTCCGAGGCATGGCGGCCCGTCTCCTTGTCTCTGGTCTTCCCCGGTCCCTCCCTCCCCTTCCCCCGGGGCCTGCCCCTGCCTGCGTCCCCTACGTCGAGGGGCGCCAGCGTGCTGCCCCTCACTCCTCCCAGTTTCCTCCGATGGAGGCCCCGCTGCTGACGCTTCACATGGACGTGTGGGGCCCAGCCCGCGTCCGTGGACAGGGTCACGAGCGCTACTTCCTGCTGGTGGTTGACGACTTCTCGCGTTACACCACAATCTTCTCCTTGCGCAGCAAGGGTGATGTCACTGAGGTGCTGATCGAATGGATCCGCGTAGCTCGTCTCCAGCTCAGGCAGAGCTTCGGCTCGGACTTTCCTGTTCTGCGTCTGCACTCTGACAAAGACGGAGAGTTCTCCTCTGGCCTCCTTCGAGCCTACTGTGGTGCACGAGGTATCCGCCAGACCTTCACGCTTCCGGACTCTCCACAGCAAAATGGGATTGCTGAGCGCCGCATTGGCATGGGTCATGGACGTCGCTCGTACAACCATGATGCATGCGGCTGCCCCCCATTTTCTGTGGCCGTTTGCGGTTCGGTACGTGGCGCATCAGATCAACCTTCAGCCCAAGGTCTCCTTGCTGGAGACCCCCACAGCCTTGCTGTGGACGGGGAAGGTTGGCGATGCATCGGCGTTCCGGGTCTGGGGATCTCGGGCGTTTGTTCGCGACTTGTCTGCGGACAAGCTGTCCCCTCGTACTGCTCCTTGCGTCTTCCTGGGTTTCCCCCCTGACGCGCCAGGGTGGCAGTTCTACCACCCCACCTCTCGCCGTGTTCTATCCTCCAAGGACGTCACGCTTGACGAGACGGTCCCCTACTACCGCCTCTTCCCCTACCGCACTCCGTCCCTTACCCCGCCACCGCTCTTCCTTGTGCCAGGTCCCCCCCCCCGGTAGACCCCCACCCACCTCAGGGTCCTGCCCCTTCAAGTGTGTCCCAGGTAGACGCAGTCGAGCCTGTCGAGGTTGCTGGTGACTCTGGTGCTGCCGAGGGTGCTGAGCCTGGGGGTGCTGACTCTGAGGGTGCTGAGGCTGAGGGTACTGCTACTGGGGGTGTTGAGCCTAGGGGTGCTGAGCCTTGGGGTGCTGAGCCTGGGGGTGCTACGCCTGGGGGTGCTGAGCCTGGGGGTGCCACGACTGGGGGTGCTGAGCCTGGGGTTGCGGAGCCTGGGGGTGCGGAGCCTGGGGGTGCGGAGCTTGTGGGAGCTGTGCCTGCTCGTGTCGAGTCTGGCGGTACTGTGCCTGGAGGTTCTCTGGGTGCTTCGTCTCGGCGGGAGCCACTCTCTCCACAGGAGCTGCGCGAGTGGTTTGCCCGGCGCTGGAGGCGTTCTGCTGGAGCTGGAGGTTCTTCGGCTACTAAGGGTGCTGCGGTCGCGGGTCCCGGAGGTGCTCGTACTGGGAGTACTGGAGCTGCTGGGCCTTCGAGTTCGACTAGAGCTGGAGCTGCTGAGGGTGTTGGCGCTGAGACTCCTGCTGGAGTGCTACTGGTGCTGCTGGAGGTCCTGGACCTACTGGAGCTGCTGCAGGTACTGGAGCTGGAGGTGCTGTTGGAGCTGGTGCTTCTGCTTGGGGTACTGGTGCTGTCCCTGCTGTGTCTGGAGTCGCCGCGCGGCCTCGACTGTACTTCGTTCCGCTCCTGCAGCAGGTTCTTGGTCTTCCGCCCTTTACTGGTCCTCCTCCTCCCTTAGAGTGTCCACAGCCTGTCCCGTCACAGTTAGAGCTACAGCCGGCCTCCCCTTTACCTGCTCCTTCTCTCTACACTGGTCCTACTAGAGGTCTTGCTGAGCGTCGTGAGCCTGCGTCTCGCCCTGCGTCGCCTGTCCGTGCTGCTCGCACTAGTAGACGTGGTTCGCGTTAGCGTCCTCTTCCTGTCCCTGGCACACACCGGATATCTCTACGTCCGTCCACTGCTCCTCTGCGTGCCCCTTTGCCTTCTCCTCCCGAGTCCTCTCTTCCTGCTCTTGCCGGCCCGGAGTCGGACTCTCTTCGTGCTGCCAGTCCTACTGTCACGCGTCTCCTTGCTACTGTCGTCACTAACCCTTCCTTTGAGTCCACTGCTGCGTCTGCCCTAGTTGCTGAGCTCGTCGACTTTGCTGCTCGCTGTTGCCTAGACTACGCTGCTAGTCTTGTCGCTGAGTCTGAGTCTGTCTATCCTCCGTCCATCGGGGGTGAGTGTGCCCTTGGCACGGACGTCCTTGAGGACAGGCAGGAGGAGTTTCAGTGTCTGGCTGCTGCTTTACCTCATCTCGTGTCCGTACTGCTTACCCTTGAGGGAGACCCGGATGCACTTGACATCCCGACTCTGCGCTCTTACGCGGAGGCGATAGAGGGTCCCTACTCCTCTCAGTGGTAGGCAGCTATGGACACAGAAATGGCTTCCCGGAAGTCCACAGGCACCTACGTTGACGAGGTTCCCTCTCCGGGGGCGAACATCGTCAGTGGCATGTGGATTTTTAGGGTGAAGCGACCGCCGGGTTCTCCGCCTGTCTTCAAGGCACGTCACGTGGCTTGTGGCTTTAGTCAGCGATAGGGAGTTGACTACTTTCAGACCTTCTCTCCCACCCCGAAGATGACCACTCTTCAGGTGCTGCTACACGTTGCTGCTCACCGTGACTACGAGCTGCACTCTCTTGACTTCAGCACAGCTTTCTTGCAGTGCAGCCTGCACGAGGAGATCTGGCTGCGCCGCCCACCTGGCTTCACTGGGTCGTTCCCTCTTGGTACCTAGTGGAGTCTCCGGCGTCCAGTCTACGGTCTCCGCCAGGCGCCCCGTGAGTGGCACGACACATTGAGGACTACGCTTGCGGCTCTTGGGTTTGCTCCTTCTACTGCCGACCTGTCGCTGTTTTTGCGCACCGACACCTCTCTCCGACCGTTCTAAATCCTCGTGTACATCGACGACTTGGTCTTTGCCACAGCTGACACTACTGGACTCGTCTACGTAAAGTCCGAGCTGCAGAAGAGACACACGTGCACAGACCTGGGTGAACTGCGCAGCTACCTTGGCTTGCAGATCACCCGGGACAGAGCACGCCGCACCATTACTCTTGACTTAGTCACACATGGTGCAGCAGGTCCTTCAGCGCTTCGGCTTCACGTACTCCTCGCCTCAGGCCACTCCTCTGCCTAATCGCCACTCGCTCTCAGCTCTGCCTTCGGATGAGTCCGTAGAGTCGAGTGGCCCATATCCAGAGCTTGTTGGCTGCCTCACGTACCTGATGACCTGCACACGACCTGACCTTGCATACCCTCTAGCATTCTCGCACGCTATGTTGCTCCTGGGAGACACCGACCAGAGCACATGGCTGCAGCGAAGAGGGTGTTGCGCTACTTGTGCAGTACGTCAGGCATGGGGCTAGTGCTTGGAGGGCGGAGTCCAGTGGTCCTCACTGGGCACAGCAGACGCTTCTTGGGCTGACGACTAGGCTACAACAGCGGTCGTCATAGGGTTACAACCTTCAGCCTTGGTTCCGGCTCTGTTTTGTGGCAGGCTACTCGCTCGTCTTCTGTTCTCGGCTCCAGTTGTGAGGCTGAGATCTACGCTAGGGCCATGGCTGCACAGGAGCTTCGGTGGCTCACCTACCTGCTGACTGACCTCGGAGAGCCGCCTCGTTCTCCTCCAGTTCCTGTACGTAGGACAACAAGGCCATGCTGGCCTTGTGTCGAGAGCAGCGACTGAATCACAGAACAAAGCAGATTGCTCTCCGCTACTTCCTTGCTCGTGAGCTACAGCAGCGTGGGCAGTTGCGGCTTGCGTACGTGGCCTCTGAGGCCAACACTGCTGATGTCTTCCACCAAGGGCACTTGCGCCTTGTGATCATCAGCGCTTCTGCACTCAGCTTGGTCTTGTCCCTGTCTTGCCTCACTTGCTCACCTCTTGACCTTGCTTGTACTGTTTAATATATATATACCTGCTCTTGCTTGTCTAGCCTTATATATATATATGTACTCCTGCATGTGAACTGGCCTTGTGGCCTTGAGCTTGTGCTCGGAATGTGTGGTGACGTTGTGATCCACCGTGGGGCTTGCTTTGCTTTGCTTTGCTTGACTGTCTTGTGACCTCTTGTTCTCCCCCACCCTTGCCTATGGGGTGTGTCAGACTTATATGACTTAGCCTTGTAGGTTGTAGTGGGGTTGCACATATGGGGTACGATATTTCTAACGTTTGTACTTGTACCCAACCCTTGCACTAGTCAATCATGTCTCGTTTCATTTTCACAGAGCGAGTTTCCCGACATCAGCGGGGACAGTGACAACGAAGACAGCGACGACTCGCCTACAGGAACCTTCGGGATGAAGCAACAGGGAAGCTCCATTAACTGCCACCGAACCTGAGCCTGAGAGAGTTTGATGATGACGTACAGGAAGTCATCCCGCAAGTATTGTCATGACAGCACTGTCTCTGCGCTGAAGCTACTGGGCTTACATACCGCTACCATCGACAAGCTCCGCGTGTCATCGAGCCCAAAGAACCCTCCCAAAGCTCCGATGGATCACACGGCAAGGAGTGGCGTAAAGCCATGGATGCAGAAGTTAAGGCCCTGGAATGACGCAGATACCTAGGTGCCCGTAGACCGTGGAGCAATCAAGGGCAGGAGAGTCTTTTCGTGGAAGGGGTCTACCGCGTGAAGACCGTAGCAGACGGGACGATCAAGGCGCGGTGGGTCGTACGCTGTTATAATTCAAAAGCACGTCACAGATTTCTATCAGACCTTCGGCCCAATCAACCGTCCGTCACAATCCTATTCGCCATGGCTGCAGCAAGGCAATTACCTCTAAGTCATATCGACGTAAATAACGCATTTCTATATGCAATTGGTGGATGAAGTGATTTTTTGTGGAGCAGCCACATACCTATGGTTAGGAGACACACGCGTCTGCGTGCTGAAGAGAGTCACTTTACAGATAAAGAAAGCACCACGGCTCTAGCAGCAGCACCTGCCCACAAAATCCTACTCGAGATAGGATTCCAGCAACCTGCCGCAACGGCCCAGCCATATATTGCCTCATTTTCTGCTGCGACTACAATCCTGCTCACCGTGTATAATGATGACCTACTCTACAGGTCGCACGCTCCTAGGACCAATTTGAGAATATCTGGCGATGCGCGTCGACATCGCCACAAACCATGACGTGAAGCAGTTCTTGGGCCTTAACATCACCTACTCGCCAGAAGTCATTCATCTCTCAGTTGCAAGTACGCTGAAACACTTGAGAAGCGGTTCAACATTTCCCCTCCACCACTCTCCACTCCCTACCGCACGCTTGGACTGAACCACAAAACCCGACAACAAAACCCTGTCCCCTAAAATATGCATCTGCGTGATGCTATCTGCTCCGACGGTCGAGATTCTTCGTAACCATACGCGACGTTTCGCGTCAAGCTTCACTGCCTAACTGTTAGGAGTGCATAGTACTTTCACAATTTACTATTTGTGATATCCCTCTTTACTCCGGGCCGTAGCAAGTCTTGACTCGCTCGACTACTCCGTTGAGTTCCGAGCAGTGTTACTACTGCTAATGGTGCAGTCGCTTTGCGAGGAAGTCAGCTGCCATGTCACCCGTCGGGCTATAGGTCAAATCAACCTTGCCCTTGTCAAGTACCGCAACATGATGTGCTTGGTGTGGTTGAATGCATCCAGGTTTGGTTCGCGATCGTGATCGCGCTCTAATAGTCCACAATGCAGGCGAAAGGTTGGCAAAGTTGGAATTTCCGCCTCCTGTAAAGAGCTCCTGTAGATAGAGCCCTTCGCGAACTTGCTGCTGTCGCGGCGATGAATTCAACTTCGGGCCGATGACAAGGCAACCAGATACTGCTTATGCGAATTCCAAGAGATGGGCCCTGTTGGCTCGAGGCGGAACAGGAGCCCGGTCCTAGACCGTTGATTGTTGGGGTCAGCAGCATGATCAGCGTCCACGTAGCCGATGAGGTTGAAGGAGGGGGTTTTGACTGTGGGCTAGCATAGCCCAATGTCGGCGTAGAGATGAAGAATTGCAAGGCGCGCTGAAGATCTAGGAGATTTTCAGCTATTGGTTGGCGAGGAGTACTGAGCCAGTTGGCTCGCGATGTAGGAGAAGGTTGGCGAGGATTCTGCCCAGAACAGTTCGTAACCGTCTGGAGTCGCACGGTTGGATTTCGCTGCAATAGGAAAATGTACCTCATGGAGTATATTTCTAGTCATGTAGGTTCGTATTCCCCTGTACTCTTATTTATACGAATGTATGTGCATGTTTTTATCATCTCATTTAATTTAAATTCACTCTGCCCTAAGGTCAATCTTCCGTTCCGCTCGGTTAGGAGGGCACATGAACTATGACTCGCTAGGGCGGCCCTCGTAGAGCCTGTGCTTTCCCTCGGAAGCTTCCTCCGCTGCCCACCCAGGCGGCTTCCTGGCTCTCTTGTCCCGCCTCTGCAATACGGATCCGTTGACAATCGAGGGCACATGAACTATGAACCGAAAGAGTGAATCTTCCGTTGCAATTTTAGGGCAGAGTGAATTCCGTTGCAATTTATGTATGTCTCTCTCTCTCTCTCTCTCTCTCTCTCTCTCTTCTCTCTCTCTCTCTCTCTCTCTCTCCTCTCTCTCTCGCTCTCTCTCAAGCAATCATGTATTGATATGGGTCCCACGTTTGCCATGTTTGTACCGTGGGACCCATATCAATACATGACTGATTGTGAGAGAGCGAGCGAGAGAGAGAGAGAGAGAGAGAGAGAGAGAGAGAGAGAGAGAGAGAGAGAGAGAGAGAGAGAGAGAGAGACATACATAAAATTGCAACGGAATTCACTCTGCCCTAAAAATTGCAACGGAAGATTCACTCTTCGTTTCATAGTTTCGTCAGGAGTAGGGGACCCTCGATTCCCTCAGCGTAGGATTGAGGAGTCGGGATTTCTGGTGCATCCGGGTCTCCCTCAGGGGCAATCAGCATGGACACGAGATGAGGCGAAGCAGCAGCAACATACTGGAACTCCTCATGCTTGTCCTCAAGGATGTCGTGCTAAGAGCACACTCACCCCCCACGACGGAGGAGGACAGACAGACTCAGACTCAGCAACAAGACTAGCAGCATATCTAGACGACAGCGAGCAGCAAAGTCGACAAGCTCAGCAACTAAGGAGACGTGATAGTGGACTCAAAAGAAGGGTCAGTGACAAAAGTGGCCAAGAGACGCGTGACAGTAGGACTGGCAGCACGAAGAGAGTCAGCTCCGTGTCAGCAAGAGTAGGAAGAGAGGACTCTGAGGAGGAGACGGCAACGGGACACGCAGAGGAGCAGTGGAAGGACGCAGTGCCATCTGGTGTGTGCCGGGGACCGCAGGAGGACGCGGACGCGGAGCACGACCACTAGTGCGCAGCAGGCATGAACAGGCGACGCAGGACGAGACGCATCTCACGACGCTCAACAAGACCTCCAGTAGGACCAGCGTAGGGAAAGGAGCAGGCAAGGGGGGGCGGGCTGTAACTGTGACCGCGACTGGACAGGTTGTGGGACACGCTAAGGGAGGAGCATGACCAGTAGAGAGGCGGGAGAAAAGAACCTGGAAGGAGCGGAATGAAGTACGGCCTCGGCCCCGCCCAGCGCCTCCAGAAGCAGCAGG